AACCCTCACAAAGGTGTACTGGTGCTGCCCATTCCGCAAACTGTACTGGTTTGATCACTCCTTCACTTTCTAGCCTCCTGATCTCTGCCTCTACTTTCGCCCAGAAGGTAAATGGCAGTGGGTGGGTCTTGCAAATTTGCATAATTACTTCCTGGTCAATACGTAAAATGGTCTTAGTGCCTTTGATAGTCCCTAGCCCTTCCTAAAACACTTCTGTGTATTTAAATAGGACTTCACTCAGGCAACCATTTTCTAATCGAAAAATGTTGAGCTAATCAAGGTGAATCTTTCTTCACCAATTCCGCCCAAATAGGCTGGGGCCGAAGGCTATTACTACATTTGGTGGTAACTCCACCTACCGCTTCTCACTGGAGACCAGAACTTAAGTCATACCCTTAATCCGTAATGGTTCCCTGATGTACACTGTCAGTCTGGCTGAGGCCTCGTGCAAACCTAAGGGTTGGTGTCCAGAGAGAATCTTGTTAAAGACTGGGTCTGTAACCAATGATACAACTGCGTCAGTATTGACCTCTGTGAGAACCAGCTGACCATTTAACCAGACTCCCCCTCCCACTCCCTGGGTGACATGTCCATCCTGGGCCTCCTCCAGTATCAGAACGACACCACCCGCAAACCGGAGGAGCAACACCTTATATTCTGCCTCGGGACCATACAGACCAATGGTCTAAACATGGAATTCAACAACTTTAAAATCTCCCCACTCCCGGCCACATCCCATGTCCAACCCTCCCTCTCATCCCTGCCTCCTTGACCTTACACTTTTCCATCTTCTCTCCCATCTATCCGCCCTTCCCACCACACTGACCAATCCCCACCACTCCCTACCTGCACTCACTTATCACCATCCCATCTACCTTACCCAGCCCCACCTTCCCTCTCTCTATTTGTTTCTGAGCTCCCCTCCCCTTCCCCATTTCTGAAGAAGGGTCACAACCCGAAACATCAACTTTCCTGCTCTGATGCTGCCTGGCCTGCTTTGTTCCTCTAGCTCCACACTGTCTCTGACTCCAGCATCTGCAGTTCTTGCTATCTCTGAATAATCTGGGTTGGTTCTGATTTGAATGTTGCAAAGCAATTTAAGTGTTCCAAACCACATGCACGTGGGGACTCTCCTGGATACCGGTCTATGACTTCTCTTACTCGTGTAAGATCTCATCGGACTCCTTTGTTGTGTCGATCCTCCAAACCAGCAGTAACTACAAGGCTTGCTTGGCTGCGACCCTGAAGAAAATTTTAGCCATTTGGCCAAGACTTGGCTTTGTTGTGGGGTTCTGCTGTGGGCTGGCTGAGGGTCCCTCTGCTTAGGATATGCCCTGCGTGTGGCTCTGCGTTTGCCTACACTCAAGTGGTGGTCCCCAAGCTCAGTTGGACAGATAAGGGTGTCCGCTTCCATTGGGATGCCTGTAGCTCCCATGCTCCACTTGCTGCACTTCCCAATTACAAAGCCATTTGTAGTGCTTGTTTGGATTCCAGTTGGGCTTCACTAATAGGCACTTTTGTATGGTTACATCATTAAACCCACATACCAAACAGTCTCTCAGCATCTCATTCAGGGTTAACACAAAATCACATGAATGATCAACCATATTGAGTGGTGTGACACACTCAACAGGCTGAATTATCTCTTCCTGTTCTTAAGTTCCAGTTGTATTGCTTGTCCAGCACAGCCTGAAGTTATACAAGGAATTACAAATATTAAACATACTCTCTTTTTGGAGTCTTTTCCCAAATGTCCCTCTGCCATGTCTTACTGCAACATGTTTGTGAGTCTCAGACAGTTCGATGTTGATTATGCTCTCCCACGAGACTAGGATGTTAAGGTGTTTCTGCCAACTGCATAAGCTGCAGCTGGTAGCAGGTCCCCTGAGCTCCCTGTCTCACTGGGGGATATTCCTCAGCATAAACTAGGCCATTCTGCCTTAGTGGTTCAGTGTGCAGCTGTCTCAAGCTCCAGCACAGGCTGTCGATGTGTCTCTGACAATGGGAGATTTGACACTCTTTCTGGTGCAGGAGACTTTTTACCATTCCCTGGCTGTCATTGGAGTGAGCGGTATGTGAGTCAGAGATTGACACCAAATCGTGTGTGTGTACTTGTGTGAAAGACAGAGTGTGTAGTTTACAAGAGCACATCTTGCAGTTAGTACACACTACTGCTACTGAGCATCAGTGGTGGAGGGAGTGGATGCTTGTGGATGTAGTGCCAGTCACGCAGGCTGCTTTATCCCAGATGGTGTCCAGCTTCTTGAGTGTTTTTGGAGCTGCATCCATTCAGGCAAGTGGGGAGCATTCCATCATAATCCTGACTTGTGCCTTGTAGATGGTGGGCAGGTTTTGGAGAGTCAGGAGGTGAATTATTGTTGCAGGATTCCTAGCTTCTGTCCTGCTCTTTTAGCTGATAAGTGATAGCCATAAGACCATTAGATGTAGGAGCATAAATAGGCCATTTAGCCCATTGGGCCTGCTCCGTTATTCAATGGCTGATCTGATAATCCTCAACTCCACTTTCCTGCCTTTTCTCTATAACCACTGAAGGCCTTCCTGATTAAATATCTGTCTATCCCAGCCTTGAGTATATGTAATGAATCAGCCCTCTGTGGCAAAGAATTCCACAGATTCACTACCCGCTGAAAGAGATTTAAAAGAGTCCTCCTCATTCCTGCCTTAAATGAGCCACCTCTTATTCTGAGATAATGTCCTCTGTACATAGACTCTCCCAGAGTGATGACAACCTATCTTGTCATCCTCCCAAAGAACTTGAATGTTTCTATCAGATCATCTCTCATTCTTCTAAATTCCAATGTGTACTGGCCCAATCGACTTGATCTCTTCTCTTGAGACAGAACCCTCCATACTTGTTATCGGTCTACTGAGTCTTTTCTGGGCTGCCTCCAATACCAGTATATCTTTCCTTAAATAAGGGACTCAAACCCTCACAGTATTCCAGCAGTGATCTTACTTGTATAGTTTTAGCAAAACCTCCATTAGAATCATCAGCGACACAAATAATTCAGGTTAAGATTTCTCTCCTGAACTTGTTGAACTCAATATGGAGTCTGGAGTGTGGCAAGTTATTGAGTGAGGAACAATTGGATATTGCGACATCAATAGGTTATGATGTGGATATGGTGAGCATGGCTGAACTAATTCGTGTGGGAGGAAAGGGACATAGATGTAGACATAGGTCTGTCAGTGTGACTCCTTCATAGGGCTGGGAATGGGCCATGTGAAGACAGTGAATGAAGCAAAGACTGAGACCAGGATCATAGTCAGTCTGAAGAGATTGGATAATTGAAGTTTGTTGAGTGTGAGAGAATATTGAACAATGGTATGCAATGCTGATGCAATGCAGCAAGAGAGTGACAGAGATACTTCCAGGTGAAGCAACACTTCACCTGCACTTCCCAGAATCTAGTCTATTGCATTTGCTGCTCACAATGTGTTCTCCTCTACAAAGCGTAGACTTGGTGACCGCTTTGCTGAACATCCACGTTCTGCTCGCAAAAAAGACCCTGACCTACCTGTTGCCTGAGACTTCAATGCACCACCCTGCTCCCTGGCCAACATCTCTGTCTCTGGCTTGCTACAGTGTTCCATTGTTAGTTTGATAATTGAAACTCATTGGCTAAGACGAACGGAGCTCAGTGATTGGTGGCAGATGCACAAACAGAACTCTGTGTTTAGTGACAGATGCACAAATAGAGCTCTGTGATTGGTGATAGATGCACAAACAGAGCTCTGTGATTG